TTTATTGTTAACGCTCTCGATGCGATACGAATGTCGTTATGATGCATCATATTAGTCTGAATTGTTACCAATATTTTTGACTGCGATTTTCGTCCTCTGTTGACCCATGGCTCAAAGCAACAGCTGAAAAGCAGATGTGAATTTATTTACTTGCTGAAATTTTCGACGACACACGCAACCGTTATCATCAGTATTATAATACCCAAATAAAGCAGCACGACATTACGAAACACGTTAATCGCCATTCCTGTAGATCTGTGGCATAAATTTCAGACTCTATCGAAGACTGTTTAATTCAACCTCATATACGGTTTCCACTTCACCCTTATGTTCGAAACCTATTGTCAGCGCAACTCAAAAAACAACCAGTCAAGCGTTTCGCCGTCTGTAAGGATAATGGCCTGAAGCTGGAAATTACTTTCGTAGAAAGGACCCGCGAATCTTGTTAATTTGCTGATGATCGGCAGCCACGCTCAATGAGTGCAGCAATCTAGCTTGTCTGGATCCAAGGTGCAATTCTTGTAGCAATTTTACAGCCAGTGAGAATTCGATTATTTTTCCCAGACATGTGCAGTTGTTCACGGATCTATATCAATACATAATGGTTTCATTTATCAAATAAGACTTATTAATACACAGAAATTGACTCCTAACTGCTATTAAATGTCTTTAGTGGCATTTCTGAACCGAGAATCACCATGTGGTTTATCAGCAACAGAATATCGATGTCCAATAAGCACCGCAACCGCGTCGGCGACCAAAGTCACTATTTCTATAAAAAGGTTTGTTAGCAGTGAAGCAAAACTAAAAGTAAGATCATGACTTAAAAAGTCTCAATATACATTAAATTCAATCAAGAAGCTACGCACATACATATACAAAATTATTTTCTAACTTCAGTTCTAATTTTACATTCATAATTTTATGTACTTCTGAAAAAATGTAATCCCGATGTTCTTGAGGAACTTTCGATACGGCACCTGAAGACATCACATTAAAATAATGATACCAGACTGAAACGGCGAAAATGCACAGTGTAAAGAAAGAAAAATCTATTTCTCACTTTACATCAGCAGCAATGTTGCACCGACCCCTTGCTTCTAGACTCCTGGGGGGAGACAATTTAAGCAGATCACGGCTCCACGGTACTTAAACGCCTGCAGTGGACATAGGACGCAAGACCGCGTCTCGAACTAGAGTTTCAACGAAGACTGCGACGATCCGTAGGCAAATGAGTGACAAAATATAACCACAATATTATGGGGGATCTTCCGATTTCTTTCTTTACACTGTGCATTTTCGCCATTTCAATTCAGTACCGTTACTTTTAATGTCTTATATGCTTCTCACTTTCTGATATCAGTTATTCATAGTTAGGATATTTAGTCCATCTTAACACCATAATGAAAAAATATTACGGTGATCCCGAATCGTTCTGAATGGGTGGGGGCTTACAGTACCACTTTGATAAACAGAATCGCCTAAAAAGCACATGAAACTCTGTTCATCCCGGTTATCATCACTTCATTAGTCGAATGATTCAGAGTACATTGAAAGCGTTCAGAGCTTGGCTCCGGATTCTACACCCTCCGTATATTGCTCTGTCACATTAACCCACTTTGGTTACAATCAACTCGTCACAAAGGGGACGCCGAGATCGAATTATGATGAGACGAAATAAACCATTTGCC